GGGTGAGAGTGATGGGCCACAGCAGGAAGCACACGGCTGTGATGGTTGGAAGCAAGCTGACTTAATGAACTGCCTCAGCAGAAAAATTTATTTTGAAATTTGAAATGAATCATCACAATCCTCAATGGCCAAGGAGTGCTTTGAAATGTCTCTCCAAAACCACGCAAAAATAAGCAAGGCTAGATTTTTGGAAGTGTTTTAGGGAATGAACAATGTGCCTGCACCTCCTCAGAAATATTTCCCATAGATCATGCTGCCTAACCCAAATTGAACAGCGCTGACAGATGCCTGTGTCTCCTTCAGGGTCGGTGGGAACAGGATTTTCTAGAAACTTCACTGTCTTGGGGACTCAATCCACACAGCACCAAAGAAAGGTTTGAATCTGCTCTAGACACTTGATCCAGCTGGGGGATCTGGGCATGGGTGGGTGATTGAGGCAGATTCTGACTGTGTTTGGGCAAGGGAGAATGTAAAGGTACTCTTCTGTTCTACTGGGGTCCTGCTTTGAAGGGACCTTGTTTGTCTCAGGTTGGTGCCATGTCCCTCTGCCTCCTGATGGCTGGGGTAGACATATCCTCCTGAATAACAGAGTGTAGTAAGAACTCCCTTCTACTTAGGACACTGAGCTCATACAAACGAGAAACAGCCCGATCAGCTGACAGAGCTTGCATCTCTTGAACTTGCCTCCTTTCTTGACTTCCACGACTGACCTTCTGTCACTCCTACACACACACACACACACACACACACACACACACACACACCTTGCCATGTTCTTACCAAATCCAATGCATTTCTCTGCATAACTGGCATGTCTCCTCCACTGGTAAGTCCCATCTGCTACCTCTTCTACCTCAACCCTTTGAGAACAAGGCCCCCAGATGTCAGTGCTCGGCCTACCAAACCCCCACTTCTTTGTCACCTTCTCCAGGAAATATCTTTGATCCCGGCTGCGGTGGTGCCACCCACCACACAGGGATGCTGTAAGTGCGCAGACATGTGCTGGTTTCTAGTTGTTTTGAGCACAGGGAAGGGAAGGGGAAGTGTCTTCTTCCATTTGTGCTGCCACCACACAGCACCATAGCTTGGGTGGTTTGTAAACATTAGAATTTCATTCCCCATAGTTCTGGAAGATGGGAAGCATAAGATTACGGTCCTGGCAGATTCCACGTCTGGAGAGGGTCGACTTCTCACAGAAGGCACCTTGTCACTGTGGCTTAACCGTTGGGAAGTGCCAGGGAGCTCTCTGGGCGAGAGGGGTCCCTTATATAAGGACAGTAGTCGCATCGAAGGGCCCCATTCTCATGACTTAATCAGCTCCTCAAAGGCCCACTTCCTAATGCCTTCACCCTGGGGTAAAGATTCCACATCCCTCGGGAAAGAACAAGCCTTCAGCTTATAGCCACAGTTTACTGCCATTTACTCTCCAGGGCCACAGGAGCTTGGAAATCTAGAAATGACCATTATATGCCAACAAAGAACAGTCCAGGATGTGAGGAGAGACTCAAACATCGGCCCTGAAAGGCACCCGCCATTTTGGACTTCCTTTCTGGCGACTCGCAAATTTCGCGCCGTTCTGGTTGCCCACCAATCCGCTGTATGCTTGTAAGCACAGCCCCACCCCCAATCCAATCAAGGCGCTGTACCTGACAGCTCCACCCACCAATGCCTCGTGTCCCCTTTCCCTTAATCCTGTCCACCTACCGATCCCCTGGAGGCCCAACAATCCTATCCACCAACCCCTCACAGCCCTGTGACGCATGTCGCCACCACAAAACATGCACAGCCTGGTGTGTGTCCCTCCTCTCCCCTGTGTGTGCTGCCCCCTTCTCCACCCAGGCACTCCCAGTCCTCCTTCGTCTTGCCCTCCCACTTCTTTAGCTTGCAGCCCCCTCCTGCCACCAAGGCAGGAGACATTCCCCTTCTCTCGCCCTTCCTCTGGCTCTGCTCCCATTCCTATGCTGCTTGGATAAAAGAACCTCCTAGGTACCTTGGGTACCTCACTGCGCCTGGTATTTGACTATGGCGGCAAACATCCTGGAAAGAGGACTTGGACTTGGCTGCGGGAATTAGCTGCGCATAAGAACTGACACAGGATCCAGACTCCCCTCTGAAATATTTGCCATGGCCGCCTCTGGTTTCTCAGCAGCTAAGGCCCGGTGCGCCTGCTCAGTCCTGGCTAGAGGTGTTCCTTTCCTCTCATTTTCCCTGCTCTAGACCCTCCTTATCTTTCAAGAACTTAACGTATCACTTTCTTGAAGAGGACGCTCCCTGATTCATCAGCAGGAATTGTGACCCTGAATTGTAATCTGTATCCCCAGCCTGTACCCTCCCTACTTGCTGGCAATTAACCAATTATCCATGTAGGTCTTGGTAAGTAGGAACCAGGAGGACAAGACAGACTGAATGCGGCTTGCTTATTCCTATCTCCACTATGCTCTTCTAGTGCCTAGCACATCCCGACAAATTCCCTTCTCCGACACGATCCCACTTTCTGGGTTTAATCTTCCCTAAGTATTGTCCCTGAATCTCCGCAGACCTAACAAGTGTCCATGCCACCACTTTTTCCCCCCCATTCCCCTTACAGGACACAGTGGGCTCGTTTTCCTAAATTTGTTGTCATTGCCAAATGCTTCCTTAATCTAAAATTTTCATTCACTCTTCAATGTCTCTGCAATTAAGTCTCAATTTCGTCATCTATTCAAAGCTAACAGTCAGCTTTCATTGAACTTCTCAAATTTTTCTCGTCTTCGGTCAAGTGCTCACCTGCTCACACTCTTTCACACCTGTCCTGAATCTCCTCATTTTGTTTGACTTTTCCCTCATGGAACTTCATGGTACCCTTTCACTAGTAAGCCACCAGTAACTACAAATGAAAGTCATCTCTTAGCCTTCTGAATTCCAATAACATTTGACCCATATCTAACTAGTTACTACCGCATGCTACCTTGCGCATATGTAATCTCCTGCACCACACTACAGATTATTGAACGATAAGGCCTACATTGGTATTGAACATAAGGAAATGAATAAGACTGATAAGCAATACTATACTATTTTTATATAGCACTTACTGAAAAATTTAGATATTAGTCCTAAAACATTTGATTTGTTAGAGAAGTCAATTAGTCAACAGTAACACTGGAAATCTGTTATTTCCAGGACAATTTATTTGCAATTTATTTCCCTTGAAAGAGTTTGACTCAACAGCTTATTGCTTACAATGGGATGAAAAGGAAACTCCTACGCTAAATGTTCAAAAAATACAATGAAATGATGACATCGATGATAATAAAAAAATAAGAGATAGTCACCCTTTTGGCTGGATATTAAGCAGACGGTAAAATTTGGAGGAAACAGCTAAGGGCAGAAAACAAAACTGACTCAGTGATTTCTGTAGAGTAGATCAGCAACTGCTGGGAGTCTACCCCTTTTTCAACACTGACCACAGTAAGTGAAGGAATGGATTTACAGAACAGAACAAGCAAATGAGAGCAACTCCACCACAAACCGCACACCACACACTCAAAGCACAGGGCCAGAACCCCAGGAGGAGAAAGCCATCGTGTCTTCTGTGAAGACGCCATGTCACTTCCTTCTGAAGCAGGCAAGCATGCAAATTGACCATCTCGGTAGACTTCTGAAACCCAAAGGCGAACACTTCTGAATTAAAAACACCCCATTGTTGGATGAGGGTCAGGTGGCTGGAGGCAGTGCTTTGGCAGATCCATGTAAAATCACTGTCTTTTCCTAAGTTCTAAAAACAGAACACTGAGTATAAGAGGCCAAGTGCCAAAATGGCCTTTAAGCTCATCGGATACATTACCCATCACTTTTGCATCCTGCCATGGTAATGTTTCCTCTTGCTAAAATGTCACAGCTTCTCAAGTAAAATCATGTCCAACAAGTACTTGCAAGTCTGTACTTATTGAGCCATCTGACAACAAGTTAGATCCACTATGAGTAAAGATAAACCACAGGAAGCTTTCGAGGTAAAATGACCTCATGGGCATGACCTTTGGAGTGAAGTTCTAGGGGTTCACAATTTTATTTTCTGATCTAAAGACTCAGGCATCCTTGAAGGAAGGACAGTTCTGATGAAATTAAGAGAATAGGTCACAGGGTGCAATCAATTGGCTGTGCATGAATTTTCCCCTCAGTGCCACTATTGAAGGGTTAAGGATATTTGTGAGGATGAGTCATTTTTGGTTGAGACATTAAGCACACTGACACAGAAGCAAAGGCGCTTGGAAACTTTGTATTCTTTGAACAATAAAAGGCCTTGTCTAGTCAACATTTGGAGTAATTCTTTTCCCAGGGGGATTATTATGATTTTAGAAGGCTGAAAGAGTAGCATTCTCATGACACAGTTTCATTTTCTGAGACTGGAGAGATGTCACTTCAGGAGGCCACATTTTGGCTGTATTAAGACGTGTGAACAAACAAGGAGACTGCCTCTGTTCTCACACATCCTCTCGTGGCTGCAGAGACAGACTAAACGTTCATCGGGAAAATGACTTCTCTGACAAGCTGCAACTTCAAAAGATGTATGTCGATGAAGGGAGACGCTTGGAGGAAACTAGGTGTAAGATTAAGCTGGCAAGACGTAGTAATTCTGCATATAGGCACGTGAGGCTCAGAAGAGCCCAAGTAATTAAAAGAGAATTTCAAACTCAAGACAAGAGTCCTATCAACCTTTTGTTATATAGGGCAGTGTTTTTTTTTTTTTTGTGATTCCTGATGCAAATAGTTATTAAAATTTGAGTTTAGAATTCCCAGTACTTGGACTACCCAGTTAATTGGAAAGAAAATGGGTTCTCCAAGCCAGCACCAATGAAACCTAAGAGCCGGAGAGCTGGGGCTAGCTCTTGCTGGCTGTCAGGTTTGTTTTTCCTCTGAAATATGTTCTTGTGATCTCTCATTCTGCAGAACTGCAAAAAAAAAAAAGTTTGTGATCACACTGGCACTCGAAGGGCTGACAGTTGAAATGAAGCTGTTACCGTGCTCCAGCGCTTTCATGGGAAACCAGAAGAGGATGAGGGAGTGGACCAAGGCGTTGATGCAGTGACCCCAGAAAACCTGTGGGAAAACAAACCCAGGGAGTCAGAAGCGCCGGAGACTCCCGACCTCTAGGTAGCTCTCAACAGACATGGCATTGTCAAGATGCTGGCAGCAGGCTACACAGCTCTGCGAGCAGCACAAGGCTTTCAAATTTTACTATAAAATCCAACTTCTTTCCATTCTTACAAATGACTGGACTACCACCAAATAACATTACTCCAGTGTGAAGATCAGAATACCAGGGTATATTGAAAAAAAAAATCATGGAACAAACAGAATTAAGAAATAAGTTTGTTTTGGTGCAGAAATTTTCTGAAACCCATGCACAGATTATTCAAAATGTGTATTTTTCATTCGCCTTCTTGCATGCATGCATTTTAAAAATCTTTTGCATCAAGACAAACATCTTTTAATTCCATTTTCCCATGAATATTTTGAAGTACATAAATATGTACTTCATATATTTATTATATATAGTGCAAACATTATTTATTCATACTTGAAAAATTAACTATGATAGGTTTTCTTTAGTATAAGAGACACTTTTTCAATTGTCTGTAAGAGATTGAAACTGCCACACATAAATTCTCTTTTGTTTTATCCTCAAAAATCTCTTATTCATTTTTCCATTAATTTGGGGGATTTTGGTTGAAATTATGCCCAGTGAAAGTTCTCTTTTATATGAATGTTTCAAAGGCCTAACTAAAGAACACAGACTTTGGTTCTAACTGCTAAAGTGAGACTTAATTTATTATAAATCCTCCAAATTGTTCTGGTAGTTATCATACAGTCTGATCCTAAAGAGAACTGGGACAACAGAAAATATGAAAAAAATTTCAGTATGATAACAAAATTTTACATGTCCACCTCTCCCCAACTATTTCCTGATCTCTCAACTAACACAAAACCTGGTGCTGGGTAGGAGACCTCTGGGCTCAGGAAGGAAGGCTTCAAGGATTGTTCCTCCTGAAGACCAGCGAGGCTATTCCTTCTGCCATCCCTAATAAGGTCACAGGACACGCTGAGCACAACTAGTTCACAATATTGGAACTGGACTTGGCAACAGCCCTGTGTTTAAACTTCCTAATTCTCTCCTCCACATAGCTCCAAGACAGAAACCTGGCCAAGCAGCTGGACCCACATCTGGACTCCTGTGCAAGCGAGGCATGTGAGTTCCCGTTGGGTGGCTGGCACCCCTGCCACAGGACCTCTATATCATGCCAGACTGGGTGATCTGCTTTTATAGCCAACCCTGCTTCTGCTTGGGTATTCTCAGGATCACCTGTAGAGGCAGAGCCTCCCAAATCCAAAAATCCAAAATACTCCAAACTCTGACAGTTTTTGAGGGTTCACATGAAGTTACAAGTAGACAAAAATCCTACACCATGAAACTTTCTTAAAATTCTTAAACACACTCAAAATTCTTAAACACAAAATTACCTTTGGACTATATGTATAAGGTATATATGAAATATAAATGAACTGTGTTTAGACTGGATCCCATCTCCAAGATGCCACATTATGCGTATGTATGCAGATATTCCCAAATACGAAACTCTGAAACTCAAAACAATTTTGCTCCTTAGTATGTTGCATAGGAGACACTTGACTTGCATCTCTTGTCCAGATGCTGTCTCTTTTTGATTCTGACCTGAAAACAAAAACAAAACCCTGCATGCCTGACATCGTTGATCCTTGTGTTTTTATGTATCTAATCTGATTACTTCAAGAAACTTACACATTTGAAAGTTAGAGAAAGAGATCTTCTTGCTGATTGACTTCCCAAATACCTGTAACAGCCAGGGTTGAATCAGGCCGAATTTGAGCCTCCATGTGGGTGTTAGGGGCCCACAGAACTTGAGCTGTCACATGCTACCTCCCACAGTGCACCTCAGCAAAAAAGATGCAACTGGGAGTAGAGCTGGGATTTAAACTTTGGCACTCTGATATAGAATGTCACCCCCACATGCCACCCCCACATGCCATCTTAACTGCTGGGCCAAACACCTGCACCTGAAATCCTTTTTTTAAATGAAAATCCCAGCAATTGTTAGGCAAACTCCAGCTGGCCCACACCAGGAACTCTGAGGGCTGATTCTAAAGGAACCAGGCCTAGGGGTGTTACTGTGCTCATGGGACCTGGTGACCTAAGCAGACAAGGGGGAAGGAGGTGACCAACTGGAGCCGGAAGAGGCAGCCCGATAGCCTCTCAAAGAGGAAGCACTGACTCCCTGGCTTTGCTGCATGGAGCCCACGCGTGGTCTTGTTTCATCACGCTCCATACAGCGTGATGAGTGGAGTTGAGTCACAAATGAATGCAACTCAACTGGCCTTTCTAGGGTGACGGCGCCATTATCTCCTGTGGCTACCTTGGTGTTGAAGCCTTCGGCATTCTGGGTGATTTTGTAGAGCTGAGGAAATCTGAGCATGCTCTCCTGGGTGCAAGACCTCTCGAAGATTCCCAGAGTGAAGGGCGGCAACGCGGTGAAAATCTGTGCGGAGAACAATGAGCCATTAAGAGTGGCCCTTCCGACACACACAGCTCCAGTGTCTCAGGCCTGAGGAATGATGACTTCATTTCCAGTCAAGTCCGAACCTGAGACTCTGTGATTCACAACTCCCCAGACAAAAAAAATAAAGACCTTTTCTTACCGTTCATCAGTGCAGAAGGAATACACTGACACTAAAGACAACATCATAAACTGTTGACGAGCCAAGAACTCTTGCTAAATTCACAACTACCTTCCTTTGTAAAAGGGCAGTGATGGAACTCCCATCACGGTTGGTTTTGTGCAGTGCTGCTCTGTTTTCTGTTGGTGCTAGCTGAGGTGTAGTCTTAACAGCATCCTATTCTGGCTTTTGCTATTCATTGTGAACGGTGTGATGGGCCAGCCACTGTGATAGGCCCCAGAAACAGGGCTTGCTAAAAACGGAAGAAAGAAAAGGTGACAGGTCTTTGACCTCTGGGAACTGCATCTTCTGCAGGTAGGACTGGAGCCAGCAGAGCACTAGGCATATATACAAACAAACAGATAAAGAAAACACAGCACTTTACAATATTATCTGTGGGAGGGCAGGGAAGATGGAAAAGAGAGCCACCACGGTACCTGACGGACAGGACCTGACAGGGTGACAAGGGACACGGTATGCAGGGAGGCATTTGCCCGGAAGCAGCATCCCTTACAAAGTTCTAGCCCCTGGCTGGCACGCTGGGGAGAGGGAGCGGGTTCTAAGACACAGGAGGCAGCTGGCTGAGAGCCTGGTGCAAGACAAGGAGGGGAAGGAGACCTCATCCTTTTCCATGAGAAGTGAGTCCTTTGGGCACAGTGTTTTTTTAAGACTCGGGTTTGTTTGCACTGAGGCATTTTATTCATTTATTTTTCACTGATATGCAATTGTACATATTCATGGGTGCAGCTGTTATTGCAATATATGTGTTACCATATGCAATGACCAAATCAGGATAATCCTCTCAAACATTTACAGTTATTACGTTAAATGTTTATATTTATCCTTTCTTCTAGCGATGCTTGCAATTCACAATGCATGCTTGTTACCCACTGTCACCCTCTGTGCTACAGAGCTGCTCTCTACCTGCCGCTTTGTACCCCATAAGAAAGGACTGCTTCCCTATCAGACCTTGTCATCAGCGTATAGAGAGGAGCATGACACATCCACACTGGGCTGTTGGGAAGATACAGCCAGGTGCAGAGGAGGAGGCTTCAAGGAAGCCCATCGTATCAGTGTGATCTCTGCTGCAAGGCACTGTGGGCCATTCTCCCACTTGATTCTGGATACAGTTCTCAGACGTGGGCCTCTCATGAGTTTGAGTACCCATCAAATCCATATCTACCAACCCAGCAAGCTAGTGAGCCTGTGGGAATCAGATATGCTTCTCTAAGAGAACTCTGAACTCAGTTCGAGTTATTTGGAGACTGAGGCAGAGAAACAAACCTTCCCAAGCCTACAAGGATCGGTGAGGTGACAAAGGGCCAGGGAAGCTCTGTCGCTCCTCCTTCAGCCCAGAGCACATGGAAGCAGCCCTGGGACTTCCTCCAGCTGTGAAGACTTCAAGAAGAAATCAATGCAGAGCTGCTGCATTGGCTGCCCTCCCAGGAACAGAAGCTGGCTGTTCTATGGCTTGAAGGAGGCGCCCATCTAACACAGCTCAGAAGCTCCTCCTGCTTTCTGAGGTCCCCTCTGCATTTCCATTGCTCAGCACCACTGCATACATGCACTGGGTTGTCTCTTTCACTTTTTTCCCCCTTCAAACTTGATTTTCTCCTCCCATCCACTCCAAATTCACCCCCACCCACCAGCGCTGGGCTAGCATCACCCTGCACACGCAAGCATTGATTGGTGTGGGATTACTTGTTTTCAAAAAGAGAGACGTCATATGTATTTTCTTCCTTGTATTTTTCTTGCTACACAATACATCATGGATAGCCCTTTGAGTCTGTTGATACCCACAAAAATCACTCATCGTGTGGATAGATCATACTTCTTCAGGCACTTGCCCACTGACAGGCATTCATTTTAGTTTCAATCCTTGGTTACCACAGAGGCTGTGGGATAAGTATCTCTACTTTATTATAACATATGTACTTTTCCCTTTATTTTCTTGGCAAAAGGAACTATGGAGTTTTATTTGTACTAGACAATGGGTGCTTGCTTTCACATCAGGTTTAAATCATTTACCCCTTGCAAAGGGAAACAGTAGCATGTTCCTATTTCCCTATTGGGTTTTTGATTATTATCTAGTCTGAAAAATTGAAGACATCAACTCATGCTTTAAAAAATGTACACTTCTCTGTCCACCAGTGAGCATGAACATGCTTTCATGGATTGACTGGTTACCTGGATTTACAAGTGGTGAAACATCATATCAGATCTTTAGCTCCTTTCCCATGCCTTGTTTACCTCCTTTTCTAAGAGTTCTGTGACTTGAACAGATGTCTACTTAGTTTAAAATTTTCATCTATTCCCTCTTTGTCTATCAGCTTCTGTAATTGATTTCTTTTTGCCATGTCACAGCTTTTAGCTTTTAAATGGCGAAGGATTACTTCTGAGTGTTCAACTAGGATAACAGAAGCTACCTCTCTCTGAAACTCACATGTCGGCATTCAACTGCATAACTTGGACCTACTCAGAAAACATTCAAGGTTTGCAAGTCAACAATTTCTTGTCTCCCCTTATTCCTCAAAGGCAAGACTGCCTTGGGCTCCTGGGCCTGGGAGGGGTGGTCAGCTCAGGTCTCTTCCCGTCAGAGGTTCCTGTGCTGTTTCAGGGTACTTGGCAGTGAGTAATGCAGATCCTAGATGGCCCTTATAGCCTAATGTGGCATCCAAGAGCAAACATCTGGCCATCTTAGCCGGTAAGACACACAATGCCAGGACAAGCTGCCGGATGCAATGGGTGGAATATATGAGCGCTCTAACTAGTCACTTGTGTATACACAACTTTTAATTACTCATCACCCCACTTATTATATTATTGTGTGTCTGGTAACTTCCATGTAGTCCTATCTGGGACAGCTGCTTCTGAAGAAAAACCCCAGAGGGCAGAAGCTGCTGGGCAAAGGTCTAAAGCAAGGGAGAGCAGAAGGCTCAAGAGAGGGGCCATGTAGAAGTCTCTGAGACATTCTGCTAAAAAGCCCATCAGTTCTTCCTGCCAGTGAAACAAAAAGCAGGAATGTTAAGCAGCTCCTGAGTCACTTTAGCTTATAGTTTATATATATCCCAAGCTTGTGAATTCATTACAGTCAAATAATGAAAAAAAGAACTTGGAAATCATGAAAGATACCAAATAAACTGATTACAATCACCATGGTGCCTGGAAGTCAGAATGCGTTATGTGAGTGCTACCAATGGGAAGAAAATGTTCTTCCACAACGACAGATGCTTCTTTTAAAAAAATGATCCCATGCCGCACAGTCGTCTCTATGTTTAAGAATTCAGAAGTCAAAACACGAAGCACAAGGAGTTCAGATGTAACTCAGGAATTTTTACTTGAGCTAAAAACATGAAAATGTTGTGCAGGCACTTGGTAAAGGGCTAACAACGGTCTATTATCAAGATATATGGGTTAATAATTTCATGGGGTTATTCGGGAATGATCTGCTGTGATTGAAACCATGTGTGGAGTGTTTGGGCTTCTGCAGGATGTGTCGTAGCAACAAAGACCCTAAAGATGTCTTTGTGCTGCCTGCTAAGTACACAGATGATTGACTCAGATACACTTCCCAGACATAAACAGTGCAGGAATGTCCCTGACGTTCTGCATGCTATCGGGTAGAGAGGGAGAAGGCTTACCACGTTGTACAGGCCAATGCACCAACGTTCAAATAAAATCTGCCCAGAAAATCCATTTACAAAGGCAAACCAGAGCTGAAAGAGAAGAAAGTTCATGAAGTTTTACATCAATATTGACCTTAACGTTTCCATTCAGTGAAAAAGTCCCAGGGAACGGGGCTCAACAGCTGGACACAGCTGCTAGGCGGCAATGAGCCACGGGACCACAGCAGTTATTCCCCCACAGGACATACGCGCCCGACATCACAAACATCAATACAGTAAAGACAATTTGCACTGAAGGCACACTGACATGAAGAGGTAGTATGCACATGCTTACACAAAAGCAACTTGATTTTTATTGGAGATGCTTTGTGCCGACACTTTCTCATTGACTGACAGAGCCTTAACTTCATGTATGTTTGTCCTATAATGCTTATTAGAGAAATCTTATTTTCCGTTGTAGGTCTTCTAAACAGATAAAAAATAATAAATAAAAAACAACAAGAAAAACTCCTCTGTTGGTCACACGTGTTCTGAGATCACAAAGTACTGACCCTCTTTAACCGGAGGTCCGCACAGATCAGAACACAAAAACATAAAAGAGACATACTTGAATCATCCTTTAGAGTAACATGGGTGCACAGAAAAATAAAATGTTATACTATGATTCATGCTTTCAAGTAGCCTCCACCATTCTACTTGATTAGGCAAGACTGACATAAAAAATGGACACAGAGCAAAGTGGCCAAGAGTGCAATTAGTGCCAAATGACAAGGGAATAAACCGTTTTAGAGAAGGATGGTTCTCTCAGGTATAACCTGAAGAACACATGGATTCAGTAAAAGGGAGGAAAAGCAGAGTGAGTCATCAGGAGGATGGGGGGAACCCTGACTTAGAAGTGAGGAAACACAGATAAACAACATGGCTGTTTCAATGCATGAAGCGCAACATCACTCCAGGGCTGTGAGGGAGGCTGTGACAACAGCCCATACCATATCACAGAATCAAGGCTCCTGGTGTGCAACCACCAGAGGCTAAATCCACTACTGGTGTAGAAAATAACTGACCACACAGAAAGCTATCCCATGATAACCTGGGTTGATATCAATGCAGGTACCGAAATGAACTGTGTCAGCTTCTCAACTCCACCTGCCCAAGTTTCTTGACAGAGAAATTGTTCGCTATGCTGCTCTGTACCAAACTATATCCAGTCTGATAGTATAAACAGGAACTCACCAAGCCCCAGCAGGATAGAATTAAATGTGTCAATCCAATTGCTTAATGAAGCTTTTCTTAACTGGGACTGTCATAATTTCAGTCCCCAGTTTGGTGACTACTGTGGTTGCCTCCCGAATCTAAGATAAGCCTGTTCACTTTCAGAGGTCCTCTCTGCCAGCTCTTAGTTTCAACTACCCTCCCACGGACTTGCCAAGAGGCTATGCTACGGTGTGGGGAAACACAGGAGGACAACTAAGACCCAGACGTTTGTGAGGCGTTCCACACTCAGAAGATGCTTACAACAGCTATTTAAGTATTAGGCTTCCCTAAAGTCGCAGTCTCAATCCAGTGCCTCATTATTTGGGATCTCCCCTTTACTCGAACTAAACTTTTAGTTCAAATGACGGACTAGAGTCAACTGTATTTGGAAGTTGTGTCAAATGTTTTAATTTTCCTATAATCACGTTGCACATCTGAATTTTCTAATTTGAGAGAATATTAGCAGCTAGTGAGCACTTTAATTGCATAATCCAGCTAGCCAGTCAAGTGAAAGGAGATACAACTGTTTTCTCCTCCCTTTCATTAACCAAAAACAGCCCCCCCAAAATTGAAAATCAAAAGGAAAAGGAGTCCACACTATTTTCAAAACCATGTGACAGTCTTCATCAAAGCTATATGTGACACATGTTAGTAAATAAAAGATTATCAAGGGAGAATTCCAAAAGCTAATAATCTTAAAGCCTGTAGATGGAAACAGAACTCAACATTTTCCAAAAAATAGTAAAACCACTCTTGTTTTTGAGAATAAAATATAGAAGCGGGGCCAAGCAGTGGCTGAGGTTCTTGCTTGGATTTACCAGGTCAGGCCACCTGAAGTTGAAGGGCAAGGCATGGACACACGTCTCCTCTTCCCCACATTTCCCCTTCCCCTGCCAAGAATTAAGCAGAGAACGGCAGGGCGCAGCAGAAACAAAATTGGCCATCAATTTGCTAGACACTGATCAAGAGAAACTGAAAACAAAAGAGGAAATCCACAACACACAGGCATTTCCTTCAAAGTATATAGAATTCTTCCTTTAAAAGTAAGAAATGGTAGCAAGGAATGTGTCAATTATTACAAAGTGGCAGGTGACCAGTGGGGGACAGACGGAACATTTGATGAGGAAGTGCTCTGAGACACCTTTGAAGCCTTATTCCATGACGCCATATGGGAGAATAATACAGAAATACACTAAACAAGATGATGAGGCACATGCAATTATCACTATACACCAATCAGGCAGCTAGAGAGAAGAAAAATTGTAATATTCTTGGTAATCCTAAAAGAGCTTTAGAAAAAACTACTTTCCTTTAAAACAAGTGATAAAAAAAATAAGCTAGGAGGATATCAAAGAAAGATGCAAGAAGAAAAAAGTCAAAGTCACAGATTAAAAGTCACATCAGCAGAAATAAAATCAGATGTGGCATCATTAGGAACCAATCAGAGAGAGCTGGGGCGGCTGCAGGAACATACCAGCAGAGAGTCAAAGGGCAGTGCTGATATTTAGAAATGCTGAAAGAGTCGGAAACCTCCTTAAGATAACAATAACAACAACAAAAAAATCAGCCAAAGTGGCATTTTTTTAAAAGATTTATTTTATTTTTATTGGAAAGGCAGATATACAAAGGAAGAGAGACAGAGAGGAAGATCGTCCGTCTGATGGTTCACTCCCCAAGTGACCGCAACAGCTGGAGCTGAGCTGATCCAAAGCCAGGAGCCAGCAGCTCTTCCAGGTCTCCCATGTGGGTACACGGTCCCAAGGCTTTGGGCTGCCCTCGACTGCTTTCCCAGGCTACAAGCAGGAAGCTAGATGGGAAGCGGGACCACTGGGATTAAAACTGGCGCCCATATGGGATCCTGGAGTGTGCAAGGCGAGGACTTTAACCACTACACTATCGCACCAGGCCCAAGTCCCAATTTTTTTTTAAAATAATATAATAGGAAGAAAAGTACTCAAAGATGTAACAGAAGAAAATTCTGCCATTTTCTACAAACTTCCTGGAGCACTAGGATATATATTTGTTTTTGGCCCAGAAAACAGAACAAACAACAAAAATGCCAAGATCCACACTAACATATATCCTGCTATTTGCATTAATGAGCTTGAAAGATTTATGAAATTAGTTGGTAGATGCATTAGGGGAGGATAAGCAATTAGCATACAAGGATGAAGCCGGCTTCACACTTCTCTCTAGCACTAACCCACATCAGAAGCCAGTAGTGAATATTCTCAACTCATTAGCAACATAAACTACGACAAGAATTTTAGAAACAGACCCAAAGAAACATCAAAAGCTGGAAATACAAAATAGCATGATAGCATATTAAATGTGAGGATATTTTTAAAAGTTCACAGGAAAATTAAACTGTGAACATTTTTGAAGGTCTACACTTTTGTAATAATAAGGGGAACTCAGTGCAGGGAGGCGATTTGGGGAGCGAGAAGGGGAAGTCCCAGAGCTTATGGAACTGTACCACACAATGAAAGATGTTTATTTTGTGCGAATATTTTTGAAATCCATGCACAGTTATTTGTAAATGCGTTATGAGCTGTGTTTAAAGATCTTTTTTCATTTCTTAAAATTTATTTTTACCTGGGCCTGGCACAACAGCCTAGTGGCTAAATCCTCACCCTGAACAACATGGGTACCAGATTGTGTCGGAGCTGTTCCATTTCTATCCAGCTTCCTGTTTGTGGTGTGGGAAGGTAGTACAGGATGGCCCAAAGTCTTGCCACTCTGCACCCAAGGGGAGACCCAGAGGAAGCTCCTGGCTCCTGGCTTCAGGCTGGTTCAGTTCTGGACTTTGCAGCTATATGGGGAATCAACCAGTAGATGGAAGATTTTTCCCTTTTCTCTGCAGATCTGCCTTTCCAATTAAAATAAATAAAAATCTTAATCTTTTTTTGTTTTGTATTTGAGAGAATGGCACAGAGAGAAAGAAATCTTCCACCCTTTCTCCAAATACTTCCAACAGCCAGTGCTGGGTCAGGCTGAAGACAGGAGTTAAAACCCAATGCATGGGTCCAGTGAGGTAGCTCAGCAGGTAAAGTCTTGGCCTTATATGCAATGTGATCCCATATGGGCACCGGTTCTAATCTCGGTGGCCCTGCTTCCCATCCAGCTCCCTGCTTCTGGTCTGGGAAAGCAGCTGAAAATGTTCCAAAGCCTTGGGACCCTGCAGCCATGTAGGAGACCTGGAAGAGGCTCCAGGCTCCTGGCTTCAGATTGCCACAGTTCCAGTTGCAGCCACTTGGGGAGTGAATCATTGGATGGAAGATCTGCCTCTCTGTTTCTCCTCCTCTATGTATATCTGACTTTCCAATTAAAAAAATTAAAATCCAATGTCTGATTAGAACTCAATGTCCGATATTTAAGTACATGGCCATCACTGATATGTGCATTAGCAGGAGCCTGAAGTCAGAAAGGCAGCCTGGAGTGGAAAAAACCAGCACCCAAATACAGGTTACAATTGTCCCAAGGGCTGTCACAACCCCTGGAACAAGCGCTTTTAGCATAGTACTCATTTTGCATGAACTATCTGAAGACCCAACATATGCCCAAACTCCACACTTTTTGCATCAAAACAAACATATCTTTTAATTTTATTTTCCATGAATAAACTAAAGTGACTTTGAATATCAAGAGTTCTTAATAAATCAGAAGGAAAACACGAGGAAAACAGGCAAATAGTGCGTTCAGTGTGATTACAGAGGACAACACACTCAGAACTACAGGACGTCTCATTTGCATAAAAACACACATGCCTACACGGAGAGGTACCAGTTTGTACTGTTCTGATGGGCAAAACACGGATGACCTCGGGAAAGAGCTAC